CACATGCACATACACCAGGACACTACTCACATGGTACCATGTCTCAAGGCTATTAAAAAAGAACTCCTAAGCTAACCACACTTAGGCTTAGGCTTATTCTCTAGTCTTTTCATCCTAGACACATATGGAAGAAACCAGCAACAACCAGTAGCCTAAGGTCTCTTGAGTTAATTCCATCTTCCCTTGTGAATTTCAACTTCTTGCAAACACAAAAGGGAGCAGAAAGACAAATGACACATAAATAAGAGCTTCACTGGCTTGGGGGGAGGGAGGCATGGAGAGTGACGTCAGTTTTCCCAGAAACCCATTTATCATGATAACAAGGTCTCAAGTGCTTGGGCTGCTGTTTCAGCTTCAGAAGCTGGCATACAATTATGTCCTCCAGCTTACAGTATGGCAAGACCAGCCAGAGCAAAGTAGAGCCATGCAAAGCAAAGCAAAGCAAGGGACCTGTAAACTACCCCCAACCCACTTCATCTGCAAAACAAAGAGGATCTCTGGAGTGCCTGAGTTGTGCCTGAGGTGAAACAACCTTCTGGAATGTTCCCCTTTGCAGGTAAGGGAGACTGGTAAGAATGTATGGAAGGGTCGATGCAAATTCATTATCTGACAAGAAAAAAAATCATTAGTGTCATTTTTGGTCACTGTGGATGGAGCAAGCATAATCCAGGAAGCTACTTCCTCTACTTAAACTATGCCATCTCTAAAATGCATGTAACAAGGGGCAGAAAAGCACTCTAGAAGCCCTCAAAACACTAAAGCAATAAATATTACAGTGCCAGTTTTGTGGAAAAGAGAATTACATCAAATCCAATCATCACAGAGCACTGTCTTCTATCTACTCCTCAATCTTCCACACCATGACTGCATAAAGAGCTCTATTCTGGGGGGTGTTCAGGGGGTAAGGGAGGTTCCAAAGAAATGATCCTGACCTTCTAAACTGGGACAGAGGTGGAATAAATTTATTCCATCACATTCTAGATTCAGATTTTAAAAACAAATCAATTTCAATTACACCACACACCTAGAGGCTGGTGGTTTCTTTTGTTTTTTGTTTTGTTTTGTACTAGAACTGCATTGTGTGGAATATTTCCGTAAATAAGTAAACTACAAGGTTTAACAACATTTTATGTGGCTCAGATATTTTCATCATGTGATATTTAGTGTCATGGGATTTGACCTACCTCTACATCATTGCCCTGCCTCAACTCAGGGTGCTGATGGGCTTCTTAAAATCCTAGATACCCATGGATGAATAGAAAAACTAGGTTGTTCCTCTGAAATGGAAACATCTCCTTGCACAACCAAACTTCTGGTCTAAAACAAACATGGAGCCTCAGGTCACTTCAATGATTTCTCTGCACATCCCAGGATGGAAAACTTCAGTTTTTTAAATGAAGACTTTTTTTTTTCTTTTCCTAGAATTGGTTGCCAACAAAAAGAGAGCCGATACTGCTTTTGCAAGTCTCACACTTATTTTCCTGAGTCCCCACAGAAAGAAGCCAGCTCCACAGGTTTTGGCATACAAGCCCAGTTACACTGAACAGGCACCCGAGACAGACCCCCAGAGGCCCGCTGAGAAACATGCCAAAATACGCAGCCGGCCACCTACAGGCCAGCGAACTGCACCCCACACAGACGCAGAAGTGGGACCCAGAGGCACACAGAGCAAGCAGACACTGAGGCATTCTGGACGCATGGACGCACACCATAGAGATGAGCACACTCACAGAAACAGGCAGACTCATCTGGGGTCACAGACAGAACCCCGGGCGCCACTGCCGCCTGCCCAGAGAAGGCACGAGGGCGCGCGCGTGCACACACACGCGCACACACCGATACACACACAGACGCAGTCACATATGTAATGCATATGGAGAAACCCTACTCCAGCCAGTCACCTCCCCGCCCCCCTCTCACTCCGCCTAGTGCCCCAGGCTAACCCCAGCCCGGCGCCCCTCTTCCAGAGCTAGCCGGAGTCCCAGCAGGCGGCTGAGTGCTGGGGCGCCGCAAGGCCAGGGGGCCAGGGACCCCGAGGGCTCTGAGGCTGGTGCGGCCATTCATTCGGCAACGCCCCAGCCGCGGGGCCGCAGCTGCGGCGAGGGAGGCGGCGGTGCTTACCGCAGCTCTCTGGACATGCAAGTTCAGGGGCCCGCCCGCAGGCTTTGCCAGCCCCCCGCCCCCCGCCCCGCTCCCGCCACCACCGTTCTCCAGGACAGGCTAGGGAACTGAGCCGCTGACCTCGGGAGCAAAAGTCCCGCCATGCCTCGGCTCCTGGATGCTGCCCACTGCCCTCCTCGAGGTGGAGGTGGCGGCGGCCAAGTCTCCTCCGCTCTCCCCAGACCCTCGGTCCCTGGCCCCAGCGCTGGCACCCAAGTCCGGCACTCACCACCTGGCGAGCTATATCGGTCGCTGCCATCGCTCCTGCGTCCGCCAGGGCTGCCACGGGCGCCGCCGCAACGGGAGCTACTGCACAGGAAACAGAAGAGCTCCTCCGACAAAGAGAAAGTGTTACACTTCGGGCGCGACCAAGTCCGGTGGGGGGGAGGCGCAAGGGAGGGGCCCCCTCGCTTCTGCTCCAACCCCAACCTCCCCTCTACTGCCCACCCCTTCGGAAGTAGGGTATGGGGAGGGGGCAGATTTAACGCGCCGCTTCCCCCTACCGCTAGCCCAGTTCCAGCTCTCCCTGCAACCCTAGCCATAGGCCTCTGCGAAGGGGGGCGGGGGCTCCCCTCGGTGACCACGTCCTCTGCCCCCCCC